ATAGAGTAAAACCTTACATTCGTTTAAGTCAACTTTTTCATAAGTGATAGCGATGGTTTGAATTATCAAACTTGATACTTCGTTTGGAGGAAATCCACTTTCATATGAGATTCCTTTTTTTTTCACACGCAACATTTTTCAAAGTTTTTGAGTTTTTTAACACTAGTCTCCTTTGTTTATTTAATATACTACTTGTACGTAGTGTCGTCATTTGGCGAAATTTGTTTGTCTGTTTTCTATAAGCGATATTCGTGGCACTTTATGCATAGCCCATCTTTTTAAAAACGCGCGTTGCATACTGTCTACCGAGATTTTTTTGAGAAATACTTGCTTTCACACGAAAAATTAGTGACTCAGATCCTGCGTAGTACCTAAACTTGGAATTTTTTCTAGCTATTATTTGATTCAATGACTCGTTAATCTGTGTAGAAGCACACTGTGCTATTTTTGATGAATTGTCTGCGTAACGATTGATTAATTCTATCAATTTTGTTTTTAAATTAGAATCGATTAGAGTTTCACCACATGGAAGATGTTTATAAATATACTTTACATTTCTAGTGCCTTCACACCAATTATCACATTGACTGTGATCACCGTACGCATGAGGTACAATAGCTTGTAATGCTTTTTCAATTTTCGTAGCATCTCTCTCATTTTGCTAGATTGCAATTGTAAAAAATTTACTAAAATAAGATATGAACATGGCAGGAAGCTTCATACTATGTAGATGACTGGTGAATCCTTTTTTGACATGATTTAAATCAGACCACTTGTCAACAGCGTAAGGAGCAGCTCGTCTTACTGCTGCAATCGTACAACTGTCTTCATCGACAATTATTGTTCCTATTTGAACGTTTTCTTGTTTGAAAATGGGATTGTTTGTGTATATATCTACGGCTATGTCAGACTCCATTGATTTAGCAGAATTTTCATAATTTTGCCTGCAATCTTGTTCACTCTTTGAAAATCCAAGCTTACATTTTCGGCAGTCTTTACACCGAATACCCAAAGATAACACTTTACCAGAGTAATGAACAACAGCGGTACCATGGCCTAATGGAATAAGTATTATGTAAATTGCATATTCCATACAATAAGTCTTTCAAAAAACTGTCTTACCATTCAAATTGATATACGAGCGACCATTCCCTCGTTTTTGCCAACCGGTGTCGAATGGTGATTTCAACCCAACAGGTAGAAATTGTGATACATTCTCACAATTTTCATTAAATCTAAAATATAAATTTTTATTCTAGGGATACGAGACCATTCCTGCAGTACTACATTGAGTACAAAATATATATTTTCAATAATTTTGTTTTTTATTAAGTCAAATAGTATAATTATACAAAGTAACCTTCCCCGTTGCATGGCCCCACGTTGGGCGTCACGTAACGGGGGAGGTTATCTAACAAAAATGAGAAATTTATTTAAGCACAAGCTCCCACGATGCAGAGCTAACGCTGCTCCGTTAAACACGTATAATTATACGTATATTCGCCTTTATGTCAGATGATTTCGTTTTGATGTCTTCTTTCCAACTGAGTTGAACTCGCCTTGAGTCACTTGACTTGTGACATTCGCTCTATCCTAAGTGTGAGTGACTTTATACCTAATCCGCTTAATCCTCTAGATGATATCGGATTAAAACCTAAGCTTTTATAAATCGCTTAAGCTAATAGGAAATAAAATGACGTAATCGGCGAATAAAATTAACTAAGTTTAATCAATAAAAACTACAGTCTTTTATGGGCCGAAAGACTAACGCACGCGAATAGGATTTACAATTAATTGTTAATATTTAGTGAGAGAGAGAGAGAGAGAGAGAGAGAGAGAGAGAGAAAGAGAGAAAGAGAGAGAGATAAAGAGAGAGAGAGAGAGAGAGAGAATTCGAAAATTACCGCGATAACTAATGCTCGATGCGAATACAAAAAGATTCAAGATCACGGTTGACAAAATTATAGCGATTATACCGCTTAAATCTTTGCACTGAGTTTCGCCGTTAAAAGTTTAAGTTTCCTGGGACAATTTTGATACGTGCGTGTGTGAGTTGCAAGGAAGTAGTGAATAGCAGCATTTTGGTAGCAGCAGCATTTTTGGTAGTAGCAGCAATATCGCAGATAGCAACAGATTCGAGGCAGCCAGCTGATTGATCCGAGGAGCAGATTTCTTCACTTCAACAATTACGGCTGATCACCGTAATTACACCGCAGGGTAGGTGCACCTCCCTTTATTGTTGCATGACAAAATACGTTCGAAAGTAATTTGTCAACCATGATCTTGAATCTTTTTGTATTCGCGCCGAGCGTTAGTTTTCGCGGTAATTTTCGAATTCTCTCTCTCTCTCTCTTTCTCTCTCTCTCACCGAATATTAATAATTAATTGTAAATCCTATTCGCGTGCGTTAGTCTTTCGGCCCATGAAAGACTGTAGTTTTTATTGATTAAACTTAGTTAATTTTATTCGCCGATCACGTCATTTCATTTCCTATTAGCTTAAGCGATTTATAAAAGCTTAGGTTTTAATCCGATATCATCTAGAGGATTAAGCGGATTAGGTATAAAGTCACTCACACCTAAGATAGAGCGAATGTCACAAGTCAAGTGACTCAAGGTGAGTTCAACTGAGTTGGAAAGAAGACACCGAAAAGAAATCATCTGACATAAAGGCGAATACACGTATAATTATACGTGTTTAACGGAGCGGCGGTTAGCTCTGCACCGTGGAAGTTTGTGCTTAAATAAATTTCTCATTTTTGTTAGATAACCTCCCCCGTTACAAAAGGGTATATAAATAGAAATGTTCATAGTGTACATATGAATCGAATCGAAGCTTTGTAATATCAATAACTGCTGTGTTAACTTAAACACTATTTAAGATTATATTAAATAAAAATATAGAATTATATCATATAAAATCATATAAAAAATATAATTATATATCATATATAAAAATAGTAGCACAATTCATTTTGGAATATAAATCAACTTAATTTTTAAACACTAGTTTCAATTATACATTACTCAAAATCCACATTTTTATATTGTGCATAATATTTTTTCGATTCAATAATAGTGTAGAAATAAAACTATAGGTGTATTTACATTTACTGTGTTACTGTATGATATTTTCAGTGAAGTTAGCGAACAGATATGCATTTTGTCTGTCAGTGTACCTCTTATTCAGCCATTGGTTTCACCATACCGTACAAAACAATCTTACATGGCTTCCTCAGGCTTCTTTTCCAAGATCATCTTCTTCTCTAACTGTACAGTCCCCACACATGATTTGTTACAAACTTCCTCTATGGCTGCTCCAACTTGCCTCTCATATTTTTTTATAGTTTTTGGTGAAAGTGTAGGCATGTCCATGCTTGACATGAATGCATTAATATATGAGGCTCCAATGCCAGTGTCAAACATTCCTGTAAATAATATTAAATCTCATTTATAATTTGAACGTAAATCAATTTATATTTTTTTATATATTATAAAGTCAAGTTACCAAAGGCTAATTTTCCATTAGCTTCATACGTTTTGTCAACTGAATTGTATTTTTGACTATGAACATATTTCAGTGAACCGCATTTTGTGTAATTTATCGTAAATACACTTGCTAGACCCATTCTCTTCTCACTCACTCTATCCTTGAATGATAAAGGCAACTGGCATTTACTGCACCACATCTCTTCTGATAATACGTTGAAGTTCATCGCACGGGTTACTGGCTCATAAGTGGAAGCATACTTATTTGTTTCATCCTAAAAAGTTTTTAATAGGAAGTATGTAGTTATATTCTAAAATTGGTAGTTTGCTCTCTTTCAATAATTATATTCTAAATATATTTATTTGCTGCAACGATTGATGAAATCATAAAACGGTATTTTACTTACGTGTTTTCGTTTCTCCTCGTTTCTGCAACACATGCGAGCAGACGTTCTCGTGAATTAATTACTTTTTTTTTGCAAATTTGCTTTTCTTCTTTCCTCTTGTATAGTGTAAGGGCGGCATTTTGTCAGTCAATAAACAAGTATGAGATTACGAGATACGTATAAACGCGATAATGGAGCAAAAGAGGTTATGCACAAAGAGAATAAAAGAGCAGACCAACGTATTTACATCACAAACTGCGACTACGCAATACTGCGCATGAACGCAGGTCAAATGTGCGATGCAGTCTGAGAGTCGACTACGTGAGTCTATTGAGCTTTAGGGAACAGCTACCTTAAAAAGTAAAACAGAATGGAAAGTCGGATTAAAGGTTGGACAGATGTACGAAATCAGAAAGCTATTGATGGTGTTCACGAAAAGCTCATAACTGAAATGATCAGAGGGCATAAGTTTTGTTGTAGGCGATAAACTTACAATGAAACCATTGGTTTTAACTGGGACATTACACTTACTGCGGTAAGGATTATAAGTCCAACTATAAAGAAATTATAATAAGCAACGGCATAACTTTCAGAAATCTAGTAAAAAAGTCTAAATATAATAACGGAGCAATAAGCCTACAACCAAATCGGAAGAACTCAATGAATACTTCGAGGGACGAATTTGTCACCACTTTGGACAGGCATAATTGCTATGCTATTTCATAGTATATTATGTCTTACGACTTGTAATATACTGTTGTCTAATTACGTTAAATTAAATAAAGTTTTCAAATAGGGTCTAAAATAGTATTGGTACACACTAAAGGTATTTCAATCGTCAATGTAAATCTAAGTTACAATTAAAATTCGAAATTTGATTGGGTCGTGTATTGAACAGTTTTTATTCAAAAATCTAATAATCTAATTAAGATAATAAAAAAACTTAAAATATAATGGTTAAAAATTAAAAAGTTTTATTTTATCAGGTTAGTACATTATTGTTAAGAGTAGTTCAACTCAACACGATTTTTCAAAACTAGAATATTAATAACTTAATACTTTCTAGTAGATGATAGATATATACATATATATATATATATATATATAGAAACACAGCTTAACTTACACAACTGTGACGATTTCTCCAAAACCTAGTAATATGCCATTCATTTGAGCAATGAAAATACTTGCTATGGCAACGAACATTGCCGTTCCATCCATATTGATGTTGCAACCAATAGGCAGCACAAACCGAGTTACGCGAGCATCAACTCGTAATTTTTCAGTCATCAAATGGAAGGTGACAGGAAGAGCAGCAGCCCTGTACATTTAATTTTTTAAATTATTTTCTAATCAATAAAAACATTAGTTAAAGTTTTAATAAAATAATTATTTCTCTTGATTTATATAATTTTAGTACAATTTAGATGGATTTAGAGTCAACAAATTTCTTCAATATACATGAATATACATATCTCTCCCTACCCTAAACACCTTTCAAAAAAAGTAAATCTGATATGTGAGTTAAGTCTAGTAGACTAACAAATCCATTTACTAGCTCTATGAAATTATAAACATAGAAATTGTAATTATGACTGCGAAGCGCTAATTTCAAATATATGGCCGTTTTACTATTCTTTAGAAATTGATCTAGCATATTTTATTTTATAAAGTTTAAGATTGGCGCTTTGTAAATTTCGTTCTTATTCATTTTTAAGCCCTATATAAATATCTAATCCATCTATCCTTCGAAATTACTTAATAAAGGGAGGCTGGATTAGATATTTGTAAAAACTTCAAAACTGTAAAAGAACAACGAAATCTATGACATCTTTTGTAATTATGTATTCCTACTTATCCCTATATATTTTTCATTATTTATTTAAGTAAATTGAATCTTTTATTGAATTCTTTTTATTCTTTGTAATAGCGACGGCCGTCCTTGGCCGGCAATCCTTTCCCGCTATCACCTAATTCTTTAAGGGGGAGGTAAGGGAGGCGGTGTATTGCTCCCAGCAAAGCAGAAGAGGAAAGGCGATCGCAATAAATATTCTCACTTTTTACCACATATATTTATTATAAAATCGCTACCTTGAGTCATGACGAACAGAACAATCTATCAAAATTTTAATCTAATACACAATAGCTTCTTACCAACTAAATGAGATGACCGGCACATGAGCGCCTTGCCATCTCATCACCGACTCGATACACAATAAAGAAAGTAAACTTAACCACTAGTTCAGCTGTGCCGGCCCGCGAGAGCCTGGCACAGCGCACAAGTGGCAAATAGCCAGGAAGGGTAAAACCGATTAAGGAAGAGAAACGAGAGGAGAGATTATGACCTGTTTAATTGGCGAAGTCCGTTGGGCTGGCGAGTTGATCTTCTTTCTGCCGGCTGGTGACTTCCTCAGATATGGCGTGACTGGTAGACAAAGGCCGCTCTCGAGAATACTGTGCTGGTGTGTTAGGTTGGTATGCTCTCGCTCGCGGGGTGACTTCCTAAATGTTCGCGAGAAACAACGCAATAGTGCGTGAGAGACTGCTTCTCACGCTCTCCCCACTCACTTGCCTAATCGGCGGCACGCGGCACCGCCAAGCGTGGCCAGTGTCGCGCCCCTAGCCGCACTATAGTTTTTCTCTCTCTCTCTCTCTCTCACTCTCTCTCTCTCTCACTCTCTCTCTCTCTCTCACTCTCTCTCTCTCTCTCACTCTCTCTCTCTCTCTCACTCTCTCTCTCTCTCACACACACACACACACTTTCGGTGACTGACGAGAGCCCATGTTGTTGCGCGCTCCTACTCACTAATACTGCTGCTGCTCTCTCTTTCTTTCTTGATGAAGAGAGAAACCGATGTTGAAAGAAAAGACTGGCATCAGGTACGAAAACATACGTGCGCCAGATGCTTGCCATGAGCCCTTGCCGATGTCGGAAAGAGAAAAGGGACGCACGGTGTAGGCCATGACCAACCTACACCGTTACACCTTATGTATTTTATATAGGCTCGTGTGTTTCCTATAGAGTGATAATAAAGCGATTCTGACACATTCAAAATTACATCAGTTCTGACGTAATAGGACAGGTGTTATGACCAAATCAGGGACTTCGAAAAGGTGCATTTTTTTAACTAAACAAATTACAAATATTTAATAACAATTTTTATGATTATACACTGTTAAATCCTAACTAAATCGTAGAACAAACAATTTATAAGTAGGAGATGTCATCTTTTATCCTCTTTCACTGTTTCGGTAGGTAAATTCAGCGCTTCCATGAATCAAACATCTGGTGTTTTCTCCTTGCGAGTGCACCAGCTATTTGGAAAAGTATTTTTTCAGAAATCTCACCAAAACAGCTAGCCATGTAACTTATTGTTCTTCAGACGTGTCGTGCAGAAATAAAATTTCATGTTTGTAAATCAGGACAGTTTAGTCTTTTTCGTTAACCTATTAACGATCAAAGAGGTCAGTTTTTGGACATATTTTTGATCGCAAAATTCATTTGTAAAACGAAACAATAAATTGATCCAGGGTACCATACCATATGTTTTTGGGTGTGCTGAATCTAAAATCCGGGCTCAAAATTCAAAAATTTTGCTTACATAATTAAATATGGCCGTTTTTTTATAAAAAAATAGGGAAATTTTGAAAAAAATAATTTTTTGGAATTTTTTTTCTATCATAACACATGTCAATATCGAAATCTTTCTTCAACCATGAGTGCACAAAATTGTTGAACTTTAACAGAAAATATTTATATTCAAAGTTTTTTTTTCCAAAATGGCGGAAAAAATGCCAAAATCTGGAAAAAAAATGCGTTTTAGGTTACTATTTTTTTCTCAAAAACTATGAGGTTAAGGAAAAAGTTTTATATAACAAAAATGTCTTATGATTTGTCAAGGAACACTCTAAAATTTTTTCAAATTTTTTGAAAGTTTTTTTAATTTTTTAAAAAATTACAGAATTGAAAATTTCGAAAAAATTCTGGAAAAATTAGAGAGTATTCTTTGACTAATTCTAAGACATTTTTGATCTTATAAATTTTTCCCGAAAGCCTCTAGTTTTAAAGGAAAAAATTCTCAAACAATTGTGGAAATTCTATTCAACCGTTTCAACTTTTGGAATTTCATAAGATAAGTTGGGGTATAAACATACCTAAGTTTAATTTATCAAGAGGTTCTAAATAAAGTATTGCGTAAGTATCTCTAAAGTGTGACTACTTTCAGTTTATATTTATATTTTACTCTTAGCGTAACCCAGAGACAACAGCGTGGACGTAGTAAAATCATGTCTCCTTCGAGGTGCTTGTTTATAGTGAGTCCCCTTGCCTCTTACTCTATGAGGTGTTTGTTATAGTAAGTCCCCTTGCCTCTCATTCCTCGGGGTGCTTTTTTATAGTGAGTCCCCTCGCCTCTCATTCTACGAGGTGCTTTTTTATAGTGAGTTCCCTGGCCTCTCACTGTAATCAGACATGCTTTGCTTTCATGCATGCACTGCAAAAAAACAAATTGCACTTCTCACAGTACACATATGTTCTTATTGGACAAATGGAACACTTGTTCTGTTTCTTTTTTCGAATTGTTGTATGTTTTTCCTTATTTTTTTCAGCATCATGAATGTAACTTTTCGCTATTGACATTGCAAATTCTTTAGTTCCAACTTTTTTTTTACTATCATCAGCAGCATTGAATATTACAACTGCATCTGTAATTGCTGCTTGGATAAGTCTAATGAAAACCACCCACGTCCACTTCTTTAAACGAATACTTGGCAACAAATTGTTACAGTGACCGTCGTGTACATCAACTCCACCCATGGACTGATTATATAGGTGAAAAGCTTGCGGAACTGGTATATCGACTTTTTTTTTCGATCAAACTGTATCTCTTTGCTGATGATAATGGAGTGATCCCTGCAGCTGTAGATAGTATTAATACTGGCTTTGAATCCATAACTGTGATGTAATTTATTCCAGAGTTTTTTTCATGCTTTACTGCATATGTTCCACGTGGAGCCTTTTTATGAATGACATTTTTTACTGGGACACGATTGTCTCTAACAGTTCCAGTACATTTCAATTTTAATCGGTTTAAATGCACAACAAGATCTAAATTTTTAAAGTAATTGTCAAAATAAAGATGATAAAGAGGAATTTTTGCATCAGAAGTCAATTCAAAAAAAGTCTTCAATAAATGTAAAACCACGCGAGATCCTAAAGCGCATTTAGATAACTTATCTCCTATTACAGAGTTCTTTCCACAGTATAAATCTAAATTGAATAAGTATCCATTAGCAGCGCACAAACCCCAAAATTTAAGACCGAATCGTGTAGGTTTTCCTCGTATAAACTGTTTCAAACACGTTCTAGCATACGATTTAGCCATCATTTCATCCACTGATAAAGCTGATTTCCAAAAGCAAAATTTCAGAATATTCTTTTGAAACAGTTTCAACAAAGCACGAACTCGCCAAGCCTTATCTTGTGGATCTTTATCTTTGGCCTTTGAGTATTTCAATTTAGACTTTATCATTTCAAAATGAGATCGTGACATTGCTGAACAAATTTTTTCACAAGATAAAAAAGGGTCAGTTGACCAATAATCTCTTTGAGATTTTCGTTTATTGAATGAACTTGTTATAATGATTCCGATGAATGTATTTAGATCAACTAATGATAAGTCAAAATAATTTTCCTTACATGCATCGATAATATAATTTTTCATTTCAATAGAAAAAAAATTTTCAAACAGTTCTCTTGGATAACATTTTCTAATTTTTTCTTTTGTAGATCTAGGAAATAATATTTTATCTTCATTTATATTGTGACGAGAGCAGGCCGTTTGCCGTCCGCGTTTCTCCCTCCCCCACTCGGCTAAGCGTGGTGGCCAACGTTGGGCGCATTTAAGTATGCGCCTAACACTTGGTCTTTTGTTTCAGCGCCAAGGACGAGCCAGCGCAGTTGAGCGCAAGAAAAGTTGAAGAGCGCGAAGAGAGAGTGAGAAAGAGAGAGAGAGAGAGAGTATTAGGCCTATGCAGGGATTGGCAGGCGCGCAACGCGTGACCGATAAGCGACGCGTCGCGTGCCGCCTAACTAATAGGTCAAGGTAGGGAGAGGAGCGAGCGCCGCTGAGCGACTGCAAGATGCGCGCAAGAATTAGTGCGTGAGAGAGTCGCAGCCGAGCCTTACTAGAGTGAGGGAGTAGAAGCCTAGTCCTACTACAGTGCGGAAGTCCGAGCCCAGCAGAGAGAGCAGTTTGGGATAGCCGGAAGGAAGGAAGATCAACCCTACCGGCAACGGCTCTGCCAGCAACTTCAGCCAGC